CAAAGATATCTATTCCTCTATATCACATTAATTCCACTTTCCAGACTATCGAAATCAACTTGCAGCAAGAAGCTTTTGCAACTGACCACTCTCTACTGCATCTGCAAGATCTGAAGCAAGATTAAGAGCCAAGGCAGTGAGTTGAAAGAGAAAGTTGCATCCACATTTTGGTCAAGAGATTAGGAAAAAAAAACGAAATATGGAGAAGATCATACCATCTGATCCACCAATATGCTTGCCGTTTACAAATACTTGAGGAACAGTACGGCGACCAACGAATTCAAGAAGCTCATACTGGATTTGATCTCCATCCTCTGCAAAACAAAATTGCCAACAAAAGTGTTTAAAACAAATAAAATCCTAACAAGGAGACAAAGAAATGGGACTGAAGCCATACATACCTCTCTGGTCAAGCTCCACAACAAATGGTTGTTCCTTAAGTTCTCTGAAAACACGTTTCGAACGCAAGCAATACCTAGCAAATCGTGGATATACAAAAGAAAACAATTCACAGCTTTTCACGAGCAATCTTTAATCTCAATCAATAGGCCATAATCGATTAAAGGGTAGCCAAATTCAAACTTAAAACTTGGATTCAACACAATAATTTCTAATCACACACTACTCCTCAATCACCGTAGCAATGATTAAACTAGAAAACTTTGCCCCAATTGCGAGACGAAAGAAAGAGGAGGAATTGAAATTACGGGCAGTAAGATTTGGAGAAGATGACAATCTTGTTGGACAAGATGGCGTTCTGAACGAAAGCCGACACCGAATTCGAAGCTCCGGCTGGATTTGTCAGATCGCTGAGAGCCACAAGTAATAGGAGCAACGGAACCGCCGCGACGGCAAGACGGCCACGTCGCTGGCTCACCATCGCCGTTTCGATCACGGTCGTCGAATGGAAAATAGATATTCCCAGCAAACAAAAAAAGAAGTTTTGGTTCGGTGATTTATTTTTGGTTTGGATTATTATTAGCTTATTTATATGGGTCTTGGTAACGCCACATATTGACATTACTTGTTGGGCCTATAATCTATAGTCATTAATAATGAGAACTTTTAAGTATTTATTTCGCTTAATTACCATTGATAAAAGTCAATTAATTGATCATATTTGACCGTCTATGAGGTTTAAAAAAAAAAAACACAATTATACAAAAATCTGTATGAATGCTCCAAAAGAGAAATACATCGTTTTTCTTCAATACATCAACAATTCGGCAAATGCTTAAACAATTCTGAAAATGCAATTTCACTCAATTGGATTTGTTTTCTCCAGATTTGGGACTAATGAGCTTGTTGTATTCATCAAGCTCATCGTAATACACATCCCAAACGCATCGGACGCATCCGCTACCGCAGCAATCTCCAGGCTCTGGTTTCTCCGGTGGCGGAGGAAGCGAAACCTCCTCTTTCTTCTTATTCTCTCCTTTATATGTCTCCTCCGTCGCAGTTTTCACAAGATTCTCGCTATTCGTCGCCATGGTAACCGGCGATTTTCCCCGATGTTGTTCACGAGATCCGGAAGAATTGATCGAATAGTAGGCGAAAGATCGTCTGAGAGGGAGATCTCGCGTTAATCCAAATCTCATGCTCAAAAGCACATCGTGGAGGATTTCACGGCGATGATGATTTGCGATCGAGATTCGAGGATTAAGGCGATGATGAAACAGAACGGCGGCTACCATACGCGCAGATAATTAAGAGATTTGGTCTCTCTCTTTTCAATTTGTTTTAAAAAGTGCGATTGCGTTTCAGAATTGCTTTCATTTTGAGTATGGGTATGACACGTGTCGTGCTATAATTGTTAGAGAAAAAGCCAATCAAAAACGTGCATCTACCCACACAACCACGCTAGACGGCACGCATTCCTATCTTTAAACATCCAAACGGCAGGACATATTTTACTTCACCGTTTTGATGGAAATTTCATGACGGATTTTGAATACAGCGATCAACTTTCGCGACGGAGAAAGGAGAATTCGAGGGCACAATGGAAGCTCCGCCATGGATTCGAGAATCTGAAGAGAAGGACCTCGTCGTGCGTCTCTTTCTATTCATCTTTATTTCCTTTTTATGTGTTGCAGACATGAAACGATGTATAAAAAATGTGATAAATCTCATTTCCTGACAAATGTATATGTTTTCTCGCTTCTGATCCACAAATCCCTAAATGATAATCTTTCGATGGTTTAGGAATCTCCATGGGTTTTTGCCTATTGCATTAAATTTTTTTTTTTTTTTTGTGTGTGTGTGTGTGGAGCAATTGCATAACACAGACATTAAACCCTTTTTTTTTCCTTCTGATTTTGGTATTTGTGGATTCGCATTTTCTTCTAATGGTTTCTTTCTGGTTCGAAAACGCAATGACAGGATGGTTACATCCTTCATCATCCTGTTGATTTCAAAATTTCCGGTAAAGATACATCGGAGAGTTCCAATGCCAAGAGGAAAGCTGAAAGCTCCTACGGTCTTTTCTGTGTCATGAGAAAGAGAGCTTGTAGGCACAAGTATGTTGATGATATCTTCCCGGATTTGGAAGATAATCCAGAGAAATTTCTATTGGATGAGGAAGATATGATTGTAGATGACTGCTGCAGCAGTGGCAGTGACACAGAACTATCTGAATGCTCAGAATTTGATGTTATATCAGAACATGTTTTACAAGACATGGGCTTGATGGGGGAATCAAACGGTTTGAAATCTCTGGCAATATGCAACTTTCCTTGGCCCATTGAGGATGAGGGAGCTCTGGTTAGTAAGTTGTCTTCTGAAACTCAGAATTCTATCTTCTTGTTATCTCCTGATGAAGTTAACGAGGAGAATGGTGTAGGGACTAAGGAAGATGTCGTGTTATCAACTACTTCTGCATCCCCAAGGGACATTGATCCCCAAATTTGCTCTGGTCATAGTAATGACATCCCTCACTTCCATTCAGAACGGAAAAGAGATCAAATGTCTTGCATCCCTGTGGTTTGTGAAGATATTTTGAGGTGCAGGATCAACAAAGAAGATCCACAAATCCAATGCAATTCTGATAACTTCAAGAAGGATAGCGACAAATCATCTGAAACTGAAGTTAGATATGATGATGTAGTCAACATGCAGGCGTCTTTGGAGAAAATGAGCAGCAATGATGAGCTAAGACTSTGGRATAAAGACGATGATCCAATACCGATCGGCATTGATCCTCCTGCTGGTGAGTCAAGCATATTGCTAGAGACTGGTTCACTTAATCAGAATGTCAGGTGTATAAATGAAAACAACGTTCTTGGTGATCTAAGACTCTGGAATAAAGACGATGATCCAATACCGATCGGCATTGATCCTCCTGCTGGTGAGTCAAGCATATTGCTAGAGACTTGTTCACTTCATCAGAATGTCAGTTTTGATAATGAATACAACGTTCGTGGTGATCATATTGGTCTTGAAATCACTCCAATATCCCTAACGAAAACCCTTGAAGGTCCTAGTAGGTCGTTGTCAGTTTGTGGCTCTCTAGCAGGCAGAAACTTACCTCTAATGGAAGAGAGCTCAGGTGCTTGTAGTTCATTGGATATAAATGTTAGTAGCTCTGAGAACAGGGATGCAAAACTTGCTCAAACCCCATCAACTCTGTACCAGGAAGAAGTTAATGGTGAAGATGAGATTTGCTTTTCTGACATTGATGCAATGGTAAACCTTAATTACTCTTTACACAAGCATGTCAAACTTTATCCTTAAATGTGTTTTTAGGATCTCTGACTTCACAGAAAAATGTCTCCAGATTCACAGGTTGAATCTAGTCCCGGAGGATTCAGATTCATGCTTAAACAGGGAAGGTAACTCATGGTTTTTGATGTCCAATCATGCTACTTGTTCTCTCTGTTTCTTCCACAACCATTGTAAGGAACAGTTTTATATCTCTCAAACTAGAGCTGTCTCAATAATGGTTTGCTTTATGATTCCTAGAATGGAACATGTCGAAGCACCCAAGACATACATTACTTGGATTGGAACACTGCACTAGAACTTCAACGCGAAGAGCACTTGTGTTTCAAGGGGCTATTGCCGTACTGCATTGTCGTGATTCAAAGCATTTTATTAGAAAACACGAGGTATGTAAGACAAAACATTCTCCACTTCATGGAGCTTCCATGTCGTATTATCTAGTCTCATTTATCTGTCGTAGGTAAATTGGGTAATCATTACAAGATCATTTATTTGGCATAGGTAATTATTGGGAGATCATCTCATGGCCTGAAGGTTGACATTGACTTGGGTAAAGACGGTTATGGGAGCAAGATATCTCGGCGACAGGTGATCCTCTTTCCCTTTCTCAAAGTTATATTAGTTCACTGATCTAGTACTTAATCTCCACCTTGCTAAGTTGTTTCTATGTGCCATACCCTCCATATTTTCCCAAGGCATTGGTGAAGCTAGAGAACAACGGATCATTCTCTCTAAAGAACCTTGAAAAGCGACATATCCTTGTAAATGGAGAAAAACTCAATACAGGACAGATTGGAACTCTCGCATCGTGCAGTTCAATCAATGTAAGCTCTAGTTTACGCTTTGTACAAGCGCGTTTATGCATTTTTCTATAATCAGAACGCCAATGTTGCAGTTTAAAGGAATAGTTTTTGAGTTCAAGATTAACAAAGAAGCAGTGAGACAGTTCTTGAAGAACAACACACGGAGAAACAGCGAGGACGACGCCAAATTCAGATGGTGCGAATAGATTCTCTGTTAGTTCCTTTTGCTCTACTCTTCTATGGATAGTCTTAGTTATCCATCAACATAATTTAAACCTCCCACCTGGCTTATGTTTAGAGTTTAGACACCTAACGCCAATAAGTTACATTTTTCGTCTTCTTCCATAGATTCAAAGTTGAGTTAGTTAGAGCCAATGATTTAGATCTTTGCTTGCTTGCAACAGCTACGCGTTAACTCCACCTATAAGGCTATAATTACTTCATTCAAGTGTCAACAACCAAAACTTTAATTTAGATTTTTAACATTTTGTGGTCAAATGGGTACGTCATATTTGGGGGGAAATGAACAAAATTCATAAAATCTCGTAATCAAATTTGTCTATATATGACTTGTGAATTGGTAAAGATGAGTAGTAAATCACGAGTTGTTGTTGTGCTTTGGAGTCCTAACAGAATCTAAAGCTCTTTTACCTCTGAGTTATGGTGGATGTTGATAGGGCCAACCACACCTCACTGTACAGATGTTGTTGTCTTCACTCATATGTCTGATGGACCATCATCACACACAC